TTAAAACTTTTGACAGTTTTTTTATTCGTCTGAAAAAACTTTATTTCATTTGTGCAAATGTAACATTTTCAACTTAGTAAGCAACAAAAAAGCAACACTTTGCAAAAAATTACTGCATTTTTTAACGAGCTATTATTCTGAAAGTTTTTATTATGTGGGATTAAAACGTTTTAATCGTAATTATTTCGGGTTTAAATAGGAAAATACAGTGTATAGTTCATTTCCATTCAGAAATAATACTTAAGCTGTCCATTATTGCAAACTGAATTAATTCAAGTATCTGAAGTATTTATTTGACGACATCATTCAATAACAGTCAAGCAGATTGATTGGAAAAATAATATTTTTTTTCCTTGAATGGAATGGAGTGAACCGTTAACTTACGACTATGAATTACAGTTTTATTTAATCAAATTAGAAACCCCATTATAAATGTGTTTGCATGGAAGGATAGGAAATGAAGCACTTGACATTCTCAAACTTTACTAAATGTAACGGTAAAAGCTTTCAGAAATTTATTTTTTGGGCTTTTGTTTGCGTCGAGTACTTTACGAACCAGAATGGAAAATATCATTGCTCGGTCTTAATTCACTTTAAATTTATCTTAACTTGAGCTGAATTTTTAGTCTTATTTTTGTGGAAAGTTGTAAAGTGAATTTCCGAACTCTTCATTGTTTTATGCAAAAAGTACAGTTCTTTCTTAATTTATCCAAAAACGCAAGCCAGATTGAAATAGAGATATTGTTTTAATAGAAATATGAAGATATTGGAAACAGTAAATAGCTATAAATTGGAATGCACTTTGTTTGAAAAGTTAACAGTATAAATAGATTTAAAAAAGGTCGATGTTCTAACATGAATTGGAGGAAATAAAACTGAAGGTGTTTTAATCACCACAATTTACTCTAAAATGTGAAGTTAGTTAGTTGCTCCATTAAATACCTGATTTCCAACAACTTCGAGCAAACGTAAATATCATGTAGTGATTTTTACTACCTTTCTAATTCTTGTATGTCATTCAACTAATCCGTTTACAGATAACTAGAAAACTTCAAATTGCTTTAATTATACGTCTAAAAATATGCAAAAATATCCCCAAATTGAAAGGCGAATTTACGGAAACTGAAAAATAATTTTCCAGGGAAAAGCTTAATAATGCTGAAATAAAAAAACAGAAAGAAGGAAAACAGACCTGCATAAAAAATAACCAAATTTTAAACCACCCAACACAAATATTTTCCATATTCACATACATTTAATGTTTTATTTATTTCAAAGCTGCAAGTAATATTAGGACTTGCATTTTTTACTTGCAATATAGTATGAAGCAATCGCTTAACTAATGATCAGAATCGTGTCTGTTTTACCAATAGAACAATTCCTGATCCTTTACGCATTCGTAGTTCCGGTTAAATTGATAGCCGTAGCCGAGTCCTGAAGGAAGTTTTTGTTGTTTCAGAGTGTGGATATAAATCAGCCTGGGTTAATCAGGGAGGACGATGAATTCATTCTAAGTTGTGTCGCCCGAGGATCACCGTCAATAACATTCCGCTGGTTCAAGGATGGAACTTTCGTAAATTTAACCCATGCATCGTAAGTTCAATTATACGATTTTTTTCTCGCATAAAAGCTTTTAATTTATTAGAATTTGAATCAAAATAGTATTTATTATTTCGCATTCTCCAATATTTTAAGGTTTAATTCATTTATTTTCTCAATAGGTCGTTGAAAGAAAGCAACTTCTTTAATTTAGCCATTTTTTTTTCATTCTTGAATTTTGTTAATAATATAATTGAATACTTTTCATTATTCTTAAGGGATTAATGTAAAAGTCGACAATTACATTAAAAACCTTCTATTGGCATATTGGTGTATATCAGACGGTCTGAAACTCTGCCTGCACTTTTGCTAAATCTTGAAAAGTGTCCCACAACAGGTAGCGACACTTAAAATGCATCTATCGAAGTCTTTTACTCGTTATTTATAGGGCAGGATGTCGGCGCTTTATGCTATAAATCTCAATTTTTCAAACCCCAGCCAAGCTAATTTGGAACCACAGCTTGTTTTCAGTGTTCGTTTCAGTCCAGGGCTAAAATTCGTTGTTTTTTAAACCCCTTTTATTATGTTTTATTAACCATCTATCCCCTAAGTTTGCTCGAAATTTTAAATTGTGTAAATATCCTTATGTGATGTAGATACGACGCGTCAATAAAGAAGGGTACATTTTCAAACTGAATTAACCTTTTTTTTATTCATTTACACCTCCACTTAAATTAATCAGAAGCTGTGATTTTATCTGGGACACTGGAAAGTAATGTTTTTACACACGTCAATGTTGGAGAGTTGTTTATAAGGTAATTTTGAACTTCAAACTGTGCAAAAAAGTTATTGCCGTTTTCACAATAAATAAAAACGATTGTTTGCATTAATTGCGCAACAGCCACCTAACTACTAGAGAGAGAGAGGTCTCAGTCTAGAAAAAGGAATGAAAACATAGCAAGTTTTTATAAGCTCACAAAAGCAATAACGTAAAGAAAGTTACAAAAACATTTGCAGTGTTTATCCAAATGTTCTAAATTTACAACTTATTGCATCAAGTCCCCAATTCAAAAGCCATTTTTAATCGTTCGACTACTGAAGGCAAAAATCATGTTCTCGGCGAGAATTCAAAATGCAATAGCTGTAAAAAAATTCAAATTTAATCAATGAGGCATCTTTTTCTGCAACACTTCAGAGGGTATTCAGAATACCATTCACCGATATCTTTCTCAAAAAGCGTTTGAGTTTTATCGATCTAGCATTAAAAATTTGGGATCTACATAAAAATAGGATCTTGAAATTTTAACAAAAGATCGATCAATCTACTAATTAAATGCAGGCCATGATAAATACTTAATCAAGAGAAAGTAAAGATATTTCGATTATGGACAATTGTCTTGATATCTGTAAAAATAAACAGTCACAGAAAATGCCATTGAATCACAATGACCAGAAAGTGCCATTTGTAAATAATCACTTCCAGCTCAGCCCTTTTCACACAATTTCAAAAGGTCAGTTCAAAAAAATGGACTAAAGAACTTGTATATTATAACGAAATAAATAATACACACAAAAGTGTCGTCAGGCTTGAAAGAGTACTGGAGCAGTATTCAACGTGTGCAGACAAATTCGTTCGAACTTGTGAGAAATGGTATGGAAAATGGTATAAAAACAAACAGTTCAGATTCCGCATAAAATAGAAGTGTTGATAGCATAAAATTTGTTGAATAAAAGGTTGTGAAGTCACAAATTCGTATATACAAGGTAATTCGCAACCTTAAGGACACAGAGCTCGGACGTGTAGAGATCCTCAAAGCAAGTCGAGTTTCCATTGAAGTTTTTTTTCTCAGGCCCACGGTTAACCAGATACAGGGTGTTAAAGTTTCACAAAAAATTGGTATTTTCTTTTTATCTCCTACACTTTGGATATTTTGCTCATAATTTAACCGTAGGCTAATGTTTAAACCCTTTACCCATAAGTAAGGGAACTGGTTTTGAAAATCTACATGTGTTCATTTTTCTAGAGGCATACCCCCTTTTACCCCCCGAACTTTTTTCTGATGCGCCACTGGCTTCAACCGAACTAATTTTTGAATTTGCCGTTTAATTTCAGAATTTCCTGATCTCTTGCACTTTTTTCGTATCTGCCTTTGTTTTCGATTTATTTACACAAATATAAGTCCATGTAGAGTTCCTGGGTGATTTTCCATGAATTTTTTTACAATTGTTGTGCTTCCTTTTGTTCACATTTTTTTGTGAAAGAAATTAATTTCATAATAAATTGAAAAATTTGTTACATTTTTTTGTATTTTTATTTGATTTAGCTTATAGCCGATAAACCTCAATTATTGTAAATTCAATTAAAGTAAGAAAAAGTAAATTTTAGAGTTAACTTGCACTTAAAGCTTTCACAGAAAAGTATGAACAAAAAGACAAAAAAAATTATAAAAAAATTCATAGAAAATCACCCAGAAACCCTACATAGACTTATATTTGTGCAAAATAATTCGAAAACGAAAACAGATACGGAAAAACTGCAAGGGATCAGATAATTCTTAAATTGAATAACAAATGCAAAACTTTTCTTGTCAGTGGCTCACTAGAAAAGAGTTCAGGGGATTATGCGTCTAGAAAATAGACCACCCTGTAGATTTTCACAACCAATCGCCTTACCTACGAGTAAATAGTCTAAACATTAGCCTACATTCAAATTTCACCAACATATCTCATAAACTGTAGGAGTTAAAGAGAACATACCAAAAATTTTTTGAAACTTTAATACCCTGTATCTTGTTAACCATGGGGCTGAGAAAAAAACTTGAATGGAAACTCGACTTGCTTTGAGGATCTCTACACGCCCCAGCTCTGTGCCCATGAGGTTGATAATCACCCCGTATAACACCGATGAAGATCCTTCCTGGCAATTAAATATTTTTAATTATTAATTATTTTTTCCATTCTTTGTAATCATATAGTTTAAACTTTCCTTCTCAATTTTTCTTATTTATCTATACTATTCATCTAAAAATAAATATTTAGATCACTAGCACAAGAGTAATTTAATACAAGCGACTCGACATCCAGTTTTGAATTATTATCACATATTTATAGAAAATTACTTGTCTACAGGGTGTCTCGTAAGCTCATGATCAAAAGGGTATTGCGACATTATCTGGCCCAAAATAGGACGATATGACCTAACATTTATTAAGAAAACATTTTGTAATACAACTGAAGTATTGAAGTCTAACAAAAAAAATGTTTAATATAGCTGGCATACTCAATAAAGATTTAATAATTCCACCTTCCAACAGGAAAGGTACTTCACTATTTAAATATACAAATCTAAAATCACGTAACATGTTCTCTCAATCGTTAATTTGCGGCTTAATTGAGTGCAATCTCGCTCTCGAAACGGCAATTCGGTTTATTACGGAAGCTATTCAAATAAAACATGGACTAAGCACAGAAGCAAATGTGCCTTAACATCTCCACTAGTTGAATGAGCTTTTGAAATGGACGCTGAATTTTTATTAGAGAATTTTTATGCTTTTGTAGTAAACGCCTCTTTAGTTTCTCTGCATTTTTATTTTGTCATTTTGAAATAAAAGCGCTGCAGGAATTTGCATAGTCTTTCGTAGGTTAGAATTAATAAATTGCCTGTATGGAACGGCACTTCCTTATGGTAAAATTTAGTAAGTGTGTTTAGGACACGCAAGTGATGATAATAATGAAGTAGTCAATTGTTCACAACCGGGGTTTCTTACGCAAATTAAGTCTTGTGAATTGCAAACCAAAAAGTTGGGATATTAGCACAGTACACGTAGAAGTTTTTCAAAAATAATTTTAAAAATCTATTGACGGTAGCATAAATTGTCACTCGAATTTTGGCACAGACTGTTGAAAACGAGCCTCAAAGTATGCATTAACTACTAAATAGTACTCAACAGAATGTAGCAGCTAATCAATTAAAATGTGACTCACACTATTTAGCAGTTCTAAAGAATCAAAGGAAATAAACCAATCGCATTATGCAACTAAATTAATTAGCATAATACCACCTGGCTTAATTAATTTAGGGTGGTTAATAATATGATGTTACGTAATAATTACCATTACAGCAAATCGGCCATGTAACCTCTTGAATAAATGTATGTCGTAACCTGCGAAATTATGAACACGGCTATATTATTATTATGAAAAAATTATGAAACCGTCCTTGCCCTATTTTCTGCACAATAATTGAACGTTTGTGAAAAAAATATTATTCAGTTACGACTGGCCATTTTCTACTGCCTTCAAGCAATAGAAAAATAACATTTTCCTTCGGTAAAATTCTCAAGCACACTGCAAAAATTCAAATCGTAAAAACCACTTAACTTAGCAAAGTATATGTCAACATAGAAATTTGCCTGTATCGTGAAAATATTTTTCACTTCTCAGAAATGTTACAATGGATTTCGGATTCGTATCTATATTGCCTTAGCGTATATTAAACATTCTTCTCTTTTTGGTTTCAGACACAAATGGATAAAACTGATAAAAGACCCACACGTGACTGACCAATATACGGCGTTGTTGGCCGTGCAAAAGGCTCAAAAGTACGACGAGGGAAAATTTACATGCCAAGTGGAGGATTTTAATATTCAGCAATGCATGTCGAAATTTGTTAAAGTCAAAAGGCGACCTTCAGTCAAAATTGAGCCGATGAGTTTAACTGTGAGAAAGGTTCGTTCCGCTGCCTTTTCACCCCGCTAATTAATTAGAGTACTCAAACATTCCTTTTTGTTAACAACAAGGCAACTTGCGAATTTTGACTGCTGACTCTTTAAAACTGAAAGTGTGTGCATTGAATGATATTTCTTTTGCGCGATATTTCAGCCAATGCAGCTTTGGACAAACAACTCAATTAACATTCCAAGCAAGTCATTACAAATTTATCCCGGTTTGGGTTGAATATTTGTATATTTAATTAGAAGATGCAACCAGATCTAACAGCGTTAATTAAAAGCACTACTACCAGCTGCTTCTGTCATTCAGAATCGGTACAGGCGTGAATAAGCAATATTTACTTGGGAACATGAAATTGCATTTAGTATGCAAATAACACTTATTGGTTTAATTATTTCTGTAATTAACGTCATTCTAGGTAAAATGTATCTCTGGAAGGTAACGCCAAATTTAGCATACATTCCTTTGTTTGCTATATAGGGTGTTGCGTGACCCGTGAGATTTTAAGTCCAAAATCTCTTGTATTAACCGCCATTGTTAAGGTATTTTGGAGCTAAGTCTGATGGGTCCTGTAATTGTTTTGTCAGATTATTGTTTAAAATTCTGGAGTTTCAATGTTTGTTTATGTTCTGATACTGTGTCGGAAATGCAAGAACGTCAGCACAGGAATATCAGCGAAGGTATTTTTTCGAAGAATATCCAATAAGAAAGAATTCATCAATGTGCATAGTCATTTGCCCCAAACAGGTAATTTTCCTTAAGCGACTGTAGAATGTCCCGTACAGGAACAGCCTGGTCGTGAAGAAGCGATTCTTAACATGATCGAAAATAATTCGCTACAAGCGTAAGAGGAATATTTAACCGTGTTAACCAGCGTGATTTAGAATTTGTTCGTACTATGAGGCAATATTAAGCGAGTTTTACAATTTCAGCTTCTTAGTAGAAATCGCAATCTTGACGGAAATCATAACAATATTTAACATATTAATATGTTCCGAGTGTCGCAACATTACTGCTGAATTAAACGTTGATTTACGCTAGAAAACACCCAATCATATTCAAAAACCCTGGGTTTACGAAACACAATTTTTTAATTCTGTCTCTTCAAGATATTGCTTCTTTTTAATTTTCCTTGTCGATGTGAAGAACATTTTATATACATTTTTCGAATAAAAAAATATATAAATGTAAAAACTTTAAAACAAAATACTAGAAACTTAATACAATAGACTTACGCTTAATTAGAGGAAGCAAACACATAAAAGGTAAGTAAAGTAAATATACCAATATTGTTTCAGGGTCAAAGCTTTACCGTAAAATGTGTCACTTTAGAAGGAAATGGGATCGGTGGAAAATATACGTATAGTTGGACCAAAAACAAGGAACTTCTTCCTGTAAGAACAGATTGCGAAAAGTTTGAGACCCTCTATCCTGCCGGTACAATTTTGCAGGTGTTTCGAGTTGAAGTAAGCATATTAAATATTTTAGGAGACTTAATAGAACAATTAATTTTTTTAAATGCTTAATAAATTTTATTATTCCAAATTAAGAGTGCTAATTTACCGATTGAAGGTAAATTATGCATAACAACATACATTGTCACAAAAACAGATTATTAAGTAAAATAGTTTTGATTTAAAAAATCGTGATAAATGTATTTATATACGGGGTGTCTCGTAAGCACATGATCAAAAAGGGACAGATACATTCTTTGGCTCAAATGAAGACCAATGACCTAAGTTTCATTTAAAAAAATGTCCGGCTCGTCTACTATTAATGGTCAAAGGTCTTCAAAAAAATCATGTTTTCTTAAATATGGGAAGGATGGTCCGATGGGTTTAAGGAAACTCGCTACGAATTTGTTCCTATGTAAGACTCATGTTTTGGTAAAGGAACCGAGTTCATCCACTTTGGGAAGTGAGGAATTCTTGAGTGCCTTGATACAAACATTTCCAGAACTTTGGTAGCTGGAATCAACTGATTTTATTTGAATTGATGCACTACTGCTTTTGGAATTTTGGGCTCTTTTTAAAGTAAAATCTAGTGATATTCATTCATAAATTTCAATTTCAGACATTAACTGCACCCGTCGTAGTAATCAATAATATTCTTTCATAAAAAATTATCATAGTATTATCAACCGTTTTGTAATCTTTAACTGAACGACATAATCAAATTTTAAGGCCCGGTAGTATTTTGGAAGCGTTTTTGTCCGACTTGCGTTCATCAAAAATTTCACTAAAATAAAAAGCGAGTTTTTAGCAAAATATGGCCCTGACGTAGGAACAAATCCACACAACGTATCACTAAAATCAATCTGCGCACTCTCCCGATAATACAAAAAACTTACTTTAAATTTTTTTATTGTAAAAAGCTAATAAATGTCTGAAATTGTCTGTTGGCAAGAGAACAGAAATAGTTTTTTGCTCAAGAACCATCAATGGTTCAAGATTTTACGAAAAGGACCAAAATGACAAAATAAGATTAGTGCATCAAATCAAAACAAATCAGTTGATTCCAGCTACCAAATAAAAAGTTCTGGTAGTTTTTGTACCGAGATACTGAAGAATTCCTCACTTGCCCATAGCGGATGAACTCAGAACCTTACCAAAACATGAGACTTAGACAGAGGAGCAAATTAATTTGTTTTTGAGTATCAGTTCAGAGTTTCATTCAAATTCATCTCACCATTCTACCAATATTAAAAAAAAACAGTTTCAAGAACTTTGACCATCAATAGCAGAGGAGCCAGATAATTTATCTTAGTAGAAGTTCGTCTTTTGTTGATCCAAATAATACCGCAGTACCCTTTTGATCATGTGGTTACGGGACACCCTGTATGTCCACTCTGCTTATACATCTGCCTACTGTCGTAAGATATCTTACTTAGAGTCAAATTGATACAAGTCAATTGTTTCTCATTATTAGTACTACATAAAATTAAATTAAATAAAGCCAATAAGTTTATATCATGATATATACAGGGTGTTCCGTAAATATTTTAGAGGGGGTCTTCCTGAGAATTTTTTTAATTTGAGGTTTCTTTGTTCAGATATTTGATTTCCAAAATGGCGAAAAATAATAGCTTTTGTTGTTTTTCTTTAAAACGGTAAAACATAGAAACTTAAGTTTTGGTACACATTATAAGCTAATTAAGTTCCATTTTATGATACTGTTTCGTCGTTCAGTTTGCTTTTATACTGGGCAGAAATGTGCAACTCTTACTTTAGTTTTGTTTAGAACTTTTTTGTGTACACTTAAAACTTTTCTCGCATAATTTCCTTAATTTAATTACTACAAGTTATTTACTAACTTTTTTATCTCTTTTGACCACTAGTTTGCCCGCAAAAAAATAATATCGTTTTCTTTGCCGTTCTCAAAATGTGTAAGTAATTAAGTTAATTTTTTTAAATCTAATAACGTTTTCATATAATGATTTTGGTACGCATCATTAGTTGATTACTAACAACCTAAATTATTTTTCTATATTGTGTCTTTTGGTTCAGATTACGATTATTAAGTTTGAATAATGTATACTTAAACAATAACATGGTAACAATATGAGCAATTCTTGGCATAATCGCAGTCTTTTAATGAAATTAACATTTACAGACCGTAAAGTTTGCACTGAAGTTCTTATTTCGTTAGAAATATTACCTTATCTTCCTGAAGTTCTTCGATTGTATTCACTTCTGTTCAATACACCGTATTTTTTAAATGGCCCCAGAAGTATAAATCAACCGCGTCTAGATCGGGATATCTGGGAGGCGAGTTTATAGGAGCTTCTTGACCTCTTCCAATCCAACGGCTTGGAAAGTTTTGATCAAGGATCAACTCAGGGATAAAAAAGTTGATAAATAACTTTTAGTAATTAAAAAATTATGTTGATAAAAGTTTAGGTGCACACAAAAAAGTTCTGAACAAAACAAAAGTATGGGTTCCACATTTCTACCCTGTATAAAAGTAAACTGAACTACAAAACACTACCATAGAATGGCACTCAATTAGCTTATAATGTGTACCAAAATTCAAGTTTCCATGTTTAACCGTTTTAAAGAAAAACAACAAAAACTAATGTTTTTCGCCATTTTGGAGATCAAATATCTCAAAAATGAGACCTCAAATTTCAAAAGTTCTCAGGAAGACCTAAAATGACTACGAGAATACGCTGTTAAAATATTTTAACATATTTACGGAACACCCTGTATATAAGACAAATTTAAGGTTTCAAGAAGGCAAAGACCTAAAAGAACGTTGATTTTTACCAATCATGAGTTTGGGTAAATTTTGTCTCGCCGAAACGTAATGAAATAAACGATGTTTCCAAATTTTTACTTGACACTTTGACTGAAATCCAGGAAATAAGAATATCATAACAAATACACGCAGTCAGCAAAATAAATTAGAATTAAATTTAATGGATAAAGTGTGGAAGAGACCTGAGATGTTCAATATTTAGATCATCAAATCCTAAACTTTTAGAATGGCAACGATGCTGGTTGTTTCCATGCATTGCAGATATTGCATTATAGACGAACCAACACGATGCACTTCTATTGTTCATTAATAGAAAACTTTGATTGAAAGCATTAAAAGTTAACAGCGTTAAAGAAGAGTTAGTAATTGGCAGCAGTGAATCGAGGTTCAGTTGAGAATCCGAATTTTCAAATCATTTCATCAAAACTTCTCCGATATTCACTGTGGACTTGAAGGTTCAATACCACATTAAAGTATTCAGACAGCCGTCTCGTTTTCCACATCACCGCATTTCAGCATTAACTTTAAACCAATTTGCAACTAGACGGAGTTGAAATGGATTAACTTTATGTCGTTCAATCTGCCTTGATTTGAACATGAAATAAAGTTTTACTGCCATTCATGTGTTCTTTTGCGATATCTTTCGGGAAATTCGATATTTTGCCAATTTTTTTTTAACAGTATTAAAAGACCCCGAGCAAAAAAGTTATATTTGCAGAAGGACGCGCAATATTCTTGTTTGGTTCAAGACCGAACGACATCATCTGAAAAAAGCATTCAAATATATGTGTTAGACCGGAAAGAAGTTCATACATGTTCAGTGGAAATTAGTTATGATTTATCGTGGCCTGAGACAGCCCCGGACACCGACTACCTCCAAGAGTGTCCGAGAAACTATAATGGGATAATTTCCAGACGATGTATGCTAAATGATGGCAAAAATCCCAAATGGGACATTCCGGACTTTTCAAAATGCACTAGTAAAGATGTTAGTCTAATTCATGAAAAGGTTTGTGAACATTTTCGTAATTTGTTAAAATGACAAATTTATGATCAAGTCATTATTTATTGCTGAGTAACACATTAACTAATTAACGGTTAAATTAAGTTAAAACATTTCAAACTATAAAACCTTCATAATTAATTTTATTATTATGCTGAAATAAAATATTTCTGCGGATTCAACATACTAAGCTCTAAAATGTGCTCAATTTAATATTAGAAACGTAGGTAATAAAATGCTTTTTAAAATTTTTTGTGAAAGTTATTTTTCGACTCATTGAAGATATAAACTAAGAAAGTTGCCCTTATTATATGTATTTTTCAGTTCAAAATGCTAAAGGCTGGATATACACCACTGAGTCTCGACGAACTACTGCCAGGCTTCCTAAACTATGTGTTTTCGGTAAAACTACGACCTGGAGAAGGCGCAGGAATTCTTGTTTTGATTGAGGAAATAATGGAATTCCTAAAAGAAGCAAAAGTGGGACATGGCATAATGCGGAATTTTACCCAAACAGTGGTTTCTGCGCTGGATGTCATTTTATCAACTCAGAACGCATTACTATTTTTAAAAGTAAGTAACTGCAAAGCAGAATTTTTATTATAGTTCCGCAAAACCTCGATTTACACATAGTGCGTAGAATATTTTTTTTCAGGCGTTTCAGTTCGCAGATTTACGTTACTTAGATACTTAAACAAGTTATTTAGTTAACAGTTCGTAAATCCAGGAACTCGAGGAACGTATAGAATTTACATAGTAGCCTTGAATGGAAAATTACTTGAATAGTTTTTAAGGACGGGCGGTATTTATTAGAATATTTCTCGAACGTAAACACACAGGAATTTCCGTCGATTTTTTGTCTACTGCAATTTGATGAAATCATCAAACCGACATAATTTTTTGAGAACTGTTGAGACTTGGAGGCAACATATTTTCGTATTTTGTGTGATAGAATTTTTTTTGGTTGAAACTTAGATTCGCATTGTCGAGATAAAAGCTATAATATTTTAAACATTTAACTTCCTTTATCACAAAATGTCTGTGTTATTGTATTGGAGATAAATTAATTATCTTGCGGTCGGCAGAACCGATTAAACCATAAAGCTTTAAATTTTGTTGCAGCGATCGGTTGAAAAATCGAAAATGAAATATTTCAATTAATTTGGAATTATTTCTTTGGATAAGTTCTACTCATACAGAAATAATTGGACAGTTAATGCATACTTCTCTCGGACTAAATGGAGTTGAATCAGGCTTCGAGTACGATCAACGAATTTTAGTTCGGTACTGGTGATGATCAGATACATCAGTATACATATTTCTCAAGCGTTTAAATTGTCTTGTTATTAAAGCCAAAATGTACCAGGATGTTGTAAAATCAATTAAAAACATTTTCGAGTTTTGAATTTAATGAGAATTTTCATAATTATACATCAAGCATATTGAAAAATATATATTTGAGTAACATTTGTTTCTGATTAAATTTTTAAATTTACCATATGAATAAAAAATTTAATTAAAGGAATAAGCCTACCGAGACCGAAAAAGAAGTGTTGTCAACTTAGAGTTTCCAAGAGTATTTCAAGATAGGTATAACATTTGAACGCATTTAACTCAACATAATTTAATTTAATGCATTACGACTCAAGTTTCATAAAATTCAATTAAATCTTCAATTATCAACGATAATTTGAACAACATTAAAAGGTACATGAATGTTGAAAACCGAAACAGATCAGTATCATTTAATCAATTGCAGCACTGAAATCAACAAATTTGTATGCCCCGAATAAACGGTTTTTATATCCCCTAATAAATGCAAAATTGCCTATATATTTGACCGACATTGTTAGCTAAATGGCGTGTTTCAAGTGAAACAACAAAAACAATGGGCCGTTACTGTTTGAAACGACAAACTCAATTGCTGAAATTGATTACTAAATATCAAAAAATCAGTCAGGATTAAATTATTATTGACAAGTCGGGGTATTACGGCTATAAATGGCAACGCTAATAAATTACTACGTTATGGTAGCACAAAAAAGACAAATTTATTAATGCGTATCTGTGTGCGACTGTGTGACAAATTCGGCTAGTAGCTAATTTATTTTAATAGAGGGAAAATACAAATTGCCGTGCTTTTAGAGCCTACATTTAAATCAACTGTCTTACTGTTAATCAATTGAAGTTGAAAAAACTAGTCACCACGTTTCTACATTTTTATAGGTGTGAGATAATTAATCAATTTTTCTCAATGATTCAAATTGTGATGCAATTATTTAACTAAACTGATAGCTGGAAAATGCTTATATCAAATGACCTTCCGTTGGGTGTAAAAAGTAAATTATTTCTTTAAAAATGCACTACTAGTTTAAATAATAGTTTAAACTAAAATTATTGACAGTTAAAATTAGGAATAACTAACTAATTGGATGAAATGAAATTAAACTGAAACGAAAATGTTAACTTCTTCAGTTAGTTACATATCGGTACCACATATCTGTGGCCGAAGATCGATAACTTTACTATTAGAATTTCAATTCTAAATAATATATATATACATATAGTCGCATAAATTGGACCGAAAAATATAATATTTTAAGAAAACCGTACCTTTACTTTCAAATTTTTTCATGAAGATCAAGTGTGTTTTATCACCAATATAAATGTTTCTAAGTTATTCATACATTTTTTCCTTTATAAAAACAAAGTATATCTAACAAATCGGTATTTGGTATGATTTGCAGACTAATCTACACTGATACCAATCAATAACTGGTACAATATTCAATCACTCGAAATCAATAGCTTCAATTAATATGTTACAGGATGTCAATTCACTGCAAAAGGCTTTACTGGAGCAGCTTAGAATATCCGGATCTTATATTTCGAAATACGAAAATTTTAAATGGTTCAACCTGTCCCGCAATGCCCTCGATATTACTTTATCAGCTGAAGCACCGAGTGCAGATACATTTTACTTTCCTACTGCCAATAAAAAATTAAGGTAGGTGAATTATAGTAAACATGTATTGTAATAGTTTCACTTAGTTAACAACACGTTTAACATACAGCAACAAATAAAAAAGCACCTGCATAACTTGAAACTATTTGGAAGGATTGTAAAGTTATTTTTATTGTTTTGCCTATTAAACAAAAAACTCTGTTATGAACAATTTAAATAATTTGAAATTACGCCAATTTTTGGGGGTTCCATGTACAAATCCTCTTTTTTCAAATCAATATATTTTCATTGATTATTGAATACAAATAAAGCTGCTACTCAAACCAGTTTCTATATGCTTGCATGTATTCCAATGACTTGGAATGGAAAAGTTATTCACTGAGAGCAAAATGGTGCATGAGCAACAGCAGTAGCAACAAGAATGAACTTTTGTTGTATTGTAAACTTTCCGAACATAACTTTGCACCTGCTTTCAGATGCATCGAAAATTCCCTTCAAATGTTCAATTTGTGAGGGTTGTATTAAAGAAGCGCCTCGAAATCCGAGCGGAAATACTAGGGGTATTGAATGTATAAGTCATCCGAAAAAGCGACGTATAGACATGATTGGGCATAGAATAAAATTATCCAAGTCAATATATGGTATCTCGGGGATTTTTCTATACTACGCTCTCAACAAAATTTCGCATTTTGGGATATTTTGTGATAGTTGCAATGGCTTTTTGCTTGCTTCCAAAGATGCATATTTCTTGACATGACTTGCCTCGTCTCTATTTTCGTGTGACTTTCTTCAGCTTTAATTTCTATATTTTACAATCATTCTTCGATTTTAGGGAAAATCTCAGTAAAAACAACTAAGGCTTCGAAAGTTTTAGATAAAAGGCACACGCCATTTCATTCTTATCCTCAATTTTACAATGTTTTATATTTAAATCGCTATCCTCATCCTCAGCACTAAACATATTTATTTTACTTTAGAGGACAGCCGTGGGTATCAGCAAAGGTTAAAATTCAAGGACTTAAACTTGTAAAATCAGATTTATTGGCTGGAATTGTCTACCGAAATTTGCCGCTATTTTTCCCATCCAAATCATTTTTAAGAGTTAGGTAAGTTACCTAATTCAACTTCCGAATGCTTGGCTTTACTTATTTTCTGATTATTTACATTGAATCGTTTTTAACATGTTTAATGATATTTTTTAGAGACGGAACAGAAATTCAATACCAGATTAACTCGCAAATTATTACTTTCGTACCATTATCATTAAATCGGCACAGTCAAAGCCAGAATGCTAACTTGAGCATAGATTTCCAGCATCAACTAAACACCGTTAACAAAAATGGCAGCAATAATGAATGGCAACTGAGATGTGGTTACGCAGATATAGATTCTTTTGCGTTTTTCTGGGATATTTATAAGTGTTCTGTTGTACATACTAACGATCAAATGTCCACATGTATGTGTCCAAAATTTGGATCATTTGCACTTATGTTGGTTTTAACTGATCCAGAGGTAAGTTTTACAATAAAAAAATATTCCCACTTTATTACTCAAAATAAAACATTGTCAAGTTTTCGTTTCTTTCACGAACATGTTTCCGGGAATATTTTCCTATGCAGTTAGTGTTACATATGGAGAATAAATTCTGCCAAGAATTTAAGACACATTTTTTGATGACATTTAAATAATGAAGAAACAATTAACAAACATATTCAAATAAGATAGCGTTGTGTATATGAAGATAGAAAATAGGATTGTATACAGCTCGAAAAAAATGGTTGTGTTCACATTTTAGAAAGAAGTCACATCAGATGAACCACACAAATACATCCTAATCAGCAGCTTTGCCATTGGAATTATTCTAACTCTATTCACTACCATCAGTTTGAGTACTTCCTGCTTTCTTACCAAAAGTTCATGTATTACCTTCTTAAAGTTACAATGCTCAATATCCATTGTCTTTTGCGAACTCTTGTTCGCAATTGCAATTTTATTGGAACCACCGCAGGTATGTATTAAAATTGTTGAAAATTGGCGAATAAGAACAAAAATCAAAGTTTATTAATAAAAAGTTATTTAACTTTCGCTGCAATTTTATACAGCTTTATGTTGTTTTGACTAAAATACGTTATATTCTGCGACAGTATGGAAACATGAGAATTAGTTTTTGAGCAGGTATTATGCTTCATTGTTTTAGAAATAAATTTATATTTTAGTAAATTTTGAATTGATGGCTGAATTGAATTTTCTAGTACAAAAACGTACTTTGCTTTATTAATCAGTGATGTTTTGTTCAAATTCCAGAAATATTTTATGGTTTATCTTTCCTTCCTGGAATTATTCATATTATTAGGAATCTCATCCCATTTAAGTAAACTTCTTATCATATTCACTGAGGTAATCCAAGTTTCAACCTCAGCATCGTCAAAGTACACAGTTATGAGTATTACTTCAGGTAAGTCTCAATTATATATAACCACGAACTTAATGAGAATTTTGCGTTCTAGGAGTTCCGTTAATTACAATATTTGCTAATCACTTGACATACAAAACAATGAACTTAAATCTAAAATCGTGGTGGATGTTAATCAACTCACTAGCATCCAATATGTTCATAGTTGTGATTTTCATAATTACGAGTTTGTTTATAATGATTTATTTCTCAGTGATCAAAAGATTGAAAGATCTGATTGCCGACAAGGAAAAATATGATGAAGCTGCGGAATGGAGGTCAGTAAAGTTAAAGCAATTACAAGCAGTGAAATAGAATGATTTAGTTGAATTTTACTCACATGAAACATACGAGTATAGCTCATTTGCATATGTATTTTTTAGAATTTCCCTAACCAGAAGAGCAGGTTTTTTATTTCTTGCTATACTAAGTTTCATAATTAGCAGCATGTTGTATGTAAATAATCAAACGGCTTTGTGGAGTGTATATCAATTCTCAGCAACAAACATTGTAATGGTGAGTGCAACAAAACCGTACTTATATCATGCTTCAAAAAACATTTTATTGCAAATTAGTTTCTTTCGCGTTTTGTATTCCTTATTCTGATTTTAGGCTTTGGTATTAACTACGTGTTATATTCTGAAACCTGAACGCGGATTCAAGTATTTATTTAAGAAAAGACGCAAAAAAGAATCAAGTTATTTCAACAAAAATCCCACCGCTCAATGGAATTGTAAGTATACTTATTTCTGACTTGAACTGGTCGGTTATCCTATTTTTCGTTATAAGGACTGTACAATAACTTCATGAAATCCGAATAGTTGCCAGACACTTTAAAACATTGAGAAAACTCATTGAGTAATCAAAAACAATAATTAATTCCGAATAAATTAAACCCTCCAACAAGTCAATCAAATTAGTTTAGATTCAAATTTACCAAAACTCTTCAGCAAGTACTCATGAAGAATCTGAACGCTCTTAGAAGTAACGAGTAACATCAAGACTCTATCTTGTCTGCTAATTGCGTGCTCTTCAAAACAGTTTATGCTTCGTCTTGAGACTCGTCTGGACTTGCAACGGAGGAAAATGTTATAGAGTAATAATAATAACAGATAACATAACGCTCATATTTCTTCTACATATGGGTATATTTTTTTAAATTAATAAATGATACCCTTTTGTGACTTCATTTGAAATGACCCTCAGGAACTCAACCAATCATGAAAAAAAATTCATGAAATGACAGAAGTGTAAATTCTACAAAAAAACTACCGTAGGTAAAGTCTTAACTATTTCAATTTATTTTAGTTAGAAAGCAAGAGACTGAGCTAGAAAACCAAATTGCTCAATGTAGACAAGATAGTCAAGTAGCATCACCCACATCTCTAGAATCCACCAAGGGGTCAATAAAGAAAACTCAGAGCATCTCAAATGTATTTGAAAGTTGTCTGCAAACCAGCTCAACGTTCTGTGAAGTTAGCAGTAGAGAATCTGGCGCATTCCGGCAAGAAATGCAGCAAAATGCTGCTCACCAAATAGTTTCCAGTATCGCATCAAGTGCGCGAAAACCATTATTCAATAACTACTCTCAATCGCCCGATATTTTAAAGCCAAAGCCTTGTGTTGGATTAGATCTAGTCGCCCACAGCATGTGCGTAAACAAATCTGAGGTAGAAACTTCAAAAGAACCACCTCCCCTAACATCTGCTTTGAAGTCCGAGAAAAAGTTGGGAGAATATAAAACGGTTCGAATAATGTTCCCGCCACAAGTTATAGTAACTTCGGACGAAACTGAAGTTATAGAAAGTGAAAGCTGCACCAGAACCCAACCAGACGGCCATGCTGAAGCTGTAGCCACTAATGAATTTGAAGAAATAGTTGAAACCAAACAAGCAACCACCACAGAAGACAATCTTGACGGGGTGCTCGACAGTATATCGCATGATCTTGACTATCTTCTTAATAGAGGCGAGAGTAATGATTCGTTACTTGGGGCTTCAGGACTAGGAAAAAGGACATCAAAGCTCTCTGGTGCCAGTGTAATTACAGACATTGCTGAAGAATTTATTACCGAAGAAAGTAATTTCGGGGCGGAAGGCATAGTGCTAAGGACGAACTGTTAGTTATTAGTGTGTGAGCGTAAATGGAAGTCTATTTTAAATATGTGCATTTTCATTGTAAATAAAGTTGAACAGTTGAATTGTTGAATTTTCTGTAATCTTTGAGTTAGTTAGAAGTTGAAATCAAAAACGAAGATTTCTTAGATTTTTGGTATTCTGGGTTTTCAACACCATTTTCATTTTCTAAATAAATGCGTTTGAGAACTAAACTTCAAGAACCTACTATTATTTAATTGAACGTTGTCTTCATGCTGAATGAAGTTAAATCGTCAGATAATAATGTTCAAATCTTTTAAAAAAATTCGTGCAAATATCTGTTTTAAAACTGCAGTGAAAGCAGCAAATTGCATACAAGAAGTCTGATATAGTACTAAGCTGCCTTAGAGTACTAAGGCAGCTCAGAAGGTTACACTCAGAACCCAAACTGAAATCCATTGAAATATAGCTCCTCAAACGGTTTCATATTTCCGATGTTTAATCTATGTTAAGTTGAACCAGCATTATGATCCAAAATCGATCATTGTAGCAATATTTTCCGTTTGATAATAAGGTTCAGAAATATATGCCGGTTTTGGTTCAATCAATTACAAAAATTAAATTTGTATAAACTATCTAATCTGAAAATGAACCAAATAACGCGACTAAGCTGTACAAATCCTACTCCAAAATCAAGCAAGAGCTTATTTTTAAAACTGAAAAAATTGGAAGGAAGCTTTCTGTTGTCTCATCGATGTCGTGTTTTGTTTGTAAAGGGATTTTTAGATTAACGTTTTCATCAATTTTTTTGTCATTATTTCACTTTTGGTTATTATTTCAATGCTAAGGGTTAAAAGTACAGTTGAGTGGTCAGTTTAAATTGTGAATAATAATCTACTTTTTCGCTCTTGTTTTGTTACTACAATGAAAATGATAACCATCAGTTAGCAGGTAACGATGAAAATGATATTTTGCTGAAATAGTTATTTGCGTAACCAGTAGGATATGAATATTATTTTAATGCTTTATTTAAGCTGTTAATGCTGTTTCGGATCTTGTGCCAGGGAAAGCACGGAAGAAATACCAAGAACCTTTTGATCGGTACGAGAAATGGTGCAGTGAACGAAAGATACTCAACTTAACAAGCGAGAAAGGATTATTAGTAGGTACCTATATTTTAACATTTAACAAAGTAAGCAAAATACATAAACCCTCATCCCTTTGATGTTCGATGTTCTTTGTGTTTGTATCTTTCGTACCGATCAAAGCTTCTCGGGTATTTATTTTTTCCGTGATTTATCACATCTGACACAAGATCCGAAACAACATTAAGCTTCGTTCTCAATATCAAATGGCAGATCATCGATTGAACTTATTTTGACACATGAACACAATTTTGACAATGCTCGACAGATTTATTACCGCACTAGTGCGGTAATAAACATCGTTATGACATTTGAAAGAGTGGCAAATCATAGTCATGATATAACAGTTGTGGATAAAAAAAAACCATTATGATGTCTGGATTTCGCTCCCTTTTTTAAAGGTTTATACTGGGCGGACAAGTTTTCACATAGTAATATACCGTGCGCTAGTACGATCATACCCATTCAATTTCGGCTGGCGTTTGAATGGCGCATAAAACATGAGATTAGTAACATTTTATACATATAACTTCCCAGCGGTATAGTGGTCTATCAGGAACATCTCAGTTATAGAAAGGACTAAAGAGTTTCACTTACCAAAGGTCTTACATGACACTCGAAAAAAAATTACAATGCAAATCCTTCAGCGCGATTTTCTGTTAGTTTTTCCATGATTATACTCAGTTCGGCTTCTAAACTAAATTTCACTAATCTAGAAGTTCCTTATTGTGATTCTGTTTATACGATTTTCAAGTGAGTAACTTCGTATACAGGGTGTCCCGTAAGCTCATGATCAAAATGGTACTGCGATATTTTTTGGACCAAAAATTTTGGAAGAAACATATTATTAATGCTACAAGATTTTACAAAGAGCACAAAATTGTGAATAAATGATTAGTGCATCAACCGAAAAAAAAAATGAGTTGATTTCATCCTGCAACGAAAAAGTTCTGTTAGTTTTTGTACCACGACACTCAAGAATTCACCACTTGTCCAAAAAGGCTGAACTCGATTGTTTTATCAAAATATGAGTCTTACATAAGAACAAATGCACAGCGCGTTTCACCAAAATACATCGTACCATTCTCCCGATATTTAAAAAAATAAATAAATTTTCTGAAGAACTTTGACCATCAATAGCAGAGGAGCCAGACATTTTTGTTAATAAAAGTTAGGTCAGATCGTCTTCTTTTGGTCCAGAGAATATCGCAGTACCCTTTTGATCATGAGCTTACGGGACACCCTGTATAACAAAATTTAAAAATGAAATATATGCTAGGCCACCAGGCTTACACGTTTCTTCCATGATGTCTAGTGTCAAATTGTGACTGATGAAATGTAAACCAAAACAATTTAGCCATAAAGTTATAAGCTGCGTAATGTGAACAAAAAACAAAATATCATGGCAAAGGAAATAAATGAAACATTCATCACGGCAGAATGCATAACGGAATTCGATGCAGTTCATCCACGATTTCAACCTGAGGACGAAGCAGTTGCTTTGAGGTACCAACAAGAACACTATTACTTTTGCCAGCAGTGCAACCTGTTTTTTGCACCCACTGTAACAGGCCTTAAAGTGCATTTTAAGGGCGACATGGTGAAGCATAAAACTTGTGGTTCCTGCTTTTATTGTCAGGGTCCTGTGTATGAATATTCAATCAACAGTGAAAGAAAGGTTTACCATTCTTGCAAGAGAAGCAGCTAGTTGTATGCAGTGTTTAGCTGCTCTCGCACATTAAATGAATGATTCCTTTAATAATCTATGACAAACAACATTTTTTGTTCCGCCCATCAGTCAATGAAAACAACCAATTAATAATGTGCCAGAACTACTATTTATTTTAGTTTTAAAATCGCATTCTAATGCAGCTAATTGTGTTTGGAGCTCCATGACTTTTTAAGTGTTAACTGATTATTCAAGTACCTGCTAAAATGAACAAATTATATCAAAGAACATGTACATACGTAAACGAAGTACAAAATGCCTTTGTTGTGCTTGCCTAATGGTTCCTGTTAATCGTTGTGCCGTTAAATAAAGCAGCCATAACTTGCCAATCACAAGCTATTCATAGCATTCCTGTGGCTCACAAATAGTGTATCATTATTAATGTTACCTGTATAGCATGTTGATAATTTTATTTGTATGAATTTATTTTGTTATAATTATTGCCCGGTTACCTATATTTTGAATGTAAAAAAACTTAGTACCCCCTAGCAGTGTTGTGTTTATAATAATTTGTGGCCAGTAGTACAAAGCGTTTGCCGCCCAAACATTGCCTTTTAAATGTTTAGATTTTTTTAAATATATTTTTGTAAACATATATATATATATTGATTTTAGCGGCTTTAAGGATTGGTATCCATGAAATCAAGGAAATAAAATTGTCGCTAGGAAAACTTTTTTAATCACACCCATATGGAAAATCATGGTTTTCAATAAAATACATATAGCACAATAAAGCAAAGGAATACAAATATAATGCCACATAAGAAAAATGCAAGCTATTTAACGTAGTCCGATCATTTATTGCACATGTTGGTGAAGGACTCGTTATCCTAACTCAATAATGTGCTCATTCGGCGCCTCGTCTGGGTCAGAAAATATTTCGAAAGATACAAAATTGTCCTTAGTAAATGCACTGTTTTCACACTAGCTAAATGTATTTTTGGTTTTGTAGATTTGCGAAATTTTACGTGACCTGAAGCGTAAACTAATTAAATACCGATTTTAATTTTCGAACAACATTGGGTTTGATATGAAGCATCTCTAAGTGATATTAATGGCATTTTTGAAGTTTTTATTAACTTGTCCATCTATCTCTTTAAATGTTAGGTTTTTTCTTTATCTTTAGCTATAATAGGAAAAAGTTTCCTATGCATTCTATAAGAAAGGTGTTAATGATTGTCCAGAGGTCTGTTCAACTGTTTGCAAGTTTAAACTTTTTAAATTTTGTTGCATTATAATTTTTTTCTAGTCGTGCAGTTGATTAAATATTTCTAGCCGTTTTCAAGTTTAATCAAAGGAGAGTAAGGTTGGAGTTGATATTTAAAGTTAGACTTCCAAGACCAACCAAGACTTTTTATATCAAGCTCAATCGATTTCGGATCGCCCAATTAAAATAATTTTTTTCCGCAATTTCCAACTTTCCCAGACTATTAATTTTTTAAAATTGAGAGGTCTTAAGGGACAAAGACGTGTCCAAATCGTCAACTTTGTCAGGCAATTATATCACACTGCACTTATATCCAATCCAATACCAATGAGACTATTTTATTCGAATTTTAAAGTGTTCAAATTATCTCGATATAAATATATTTAAGAATAAAGTATAGGCGAATATACAGGTTAATTCACGAGAAAATAGAAAGATTGTTCAATAACACATTTTTCAACGTCGGTTCGGGTCTTTCGTATTGAATTTTTTTCGCGGTTTTATGGAGACGGTTAGATCCATTTTTGGAACATCATTTACAGGAAATAATTAGCGCAGTTTTGGGTATGCTATACATATCCTTAAAGTATTTTTATACCGTCTGGTATCACTCTGTATATTCCTTAGGACATGGGGTAAAATGTACGACAACTGTTCGCATCAGTGCGTTTTTGCACGCAAGTAAAATTATTTGTTTGAAGTAAAATATTATGATTTACAGCATCAAAAGCTTGTGCTAACTTCAGGAAGCCGACCCTATAGAAAGGTTTCTTAACTTTGTTCAAATCGAAACTGTTAATTAGTACTTTTTTAAATTCACACAATCTGTTCTAAATTAGTTTTTCGCAATTAATAGGTAAATAAAAAATAATAGCAAATTATGTAAGTAAAAGTTTTGAAAGTTGCGTTGCGATACATTTTTACGAACCATTTATCCAGCCGTATAAAAACATACTACCATATAAAACTGCCCTTTAAGTGAGGACCGTTGGAAATAAATTAATTGAGACAATCATTGGCCTCACAAGCACA